TCACTATTGATGGTTAGGTGTTAATTCACCTCGTCTTTTCTCTGTGGCTATACACACACAAATGAGTTCATGCTAGATGTTAGCTTGTGGCTTGCACTTTTTCATTTAATATATCTGGGACATCTTTACATACCAACAGATACAGTTTTACTTCATTCTTTATAATGTATATATAATATTTCTTGGCGAAAATACAGCATAACTTATTTAATCAGTCTTATAATGGATATTAACAGTTCCTAATATTGGCTATTGAAAATTGTGATAAACATGTCTTACTTTTCTTTACATTAAAACATTTGGAGAACATATGTTAACAACATGGATTATTTTCACATAATACTTATTAATGACCCTTAAAGCATTAATGTTTTGTAGAGCGTTGGGAGGCTCATCTGAGTATGTTAGTAGACATAGCAAGCTCATTCAGCTTGGCCTGTGATCACTCCTCCTTATTCCAAGGCTACTATCGTGTAGCAGACCCCACCTTTGGTCAATCTCCTGCCGCACATCTGCACACCATCTCCACCACTTTAAACATGGCAATGCCTAAAAATGAAGACCTGGGATATCAGAGACCAGAGGCAATGCAGGATTAATATTTTCACCTACCTCAGACCCAACTTGTTGATTTCTGAGGACACTTGTCTCCTTCTGTGGAGACACTAATGACCTACCTCTGTGTGGGCAAAGGATTAAAGAGCCAGGAAAACCCAGCTGGAGGACACATTTGATTGGGAGATGCGAGTGAGAAGGTAGCTGTCAGGTGTTGACTACAAGATATGTACGAACTCTGACAACTTACACTGTGTGTTTCCTTGAAAGACAGAGTAAGTTTTAGATTATTTTGAAGACTTTTTGTTGGTGTCAGCCTGGATTCCTAGAATGAAATTCCATGGAGGACAGGAGCGTCATGAAGTCCAGCTGTACACGGGTTACACATGTGGTAGTTGCAGTAGGTGGAGGAAGGGGCTTGTTTGGAGACGGACAGTAAGGGTTGCAGAGGGAAAGCAGCTCAGGCAGGAGACGACTTCAGCAGCAGTCAGGAAAGAAAGGACAGGTCAAACTGCTGAACCCCAGGACAGCTTCCCAAAGGATTTAGAACTGACATTAACAACTTCTATTTCACAGTGTCTTGACTCTTGGAAGAGACTCAGTAGTTGTTCACCAAACTATTTCCTCCTGAGAGCTTAGCTGGGCTCCATTGTCCAGCCTGTCCTGCAGTTAGAGGTGGCCACACGACTGGGTTCTGGAAGAAATCAGGTTTGCCCCTTCCAGGCCTGGCCCATAAAAC